AAAAAAAAAAAAAAAAAGAAAAAGAAAAGAAAAAGAAGGAGAAGGTGAAGGAGTAGGAGGAGGAGGAAGAGGAGGAGGAGGAGGAGGAGGAGGAGAAAGAGAAGAGGAAGAAGAGGAAGATGATGATGATGGAGAAGAACAATAATACTCAGAGTTGTCAGAAAGACCCAGACTACATCCAAAGGACTTTTCTACTATCAGGCATTTCATTTTCAGAACAGGGAGGTCTAGAGTGTCCCCTAAAAGAATTTGGGGACAGGGTTGCAAAGAATTTGGAGGGCAGTTGACCCAGGAAGCAGATGAAAGGGTGAGTTTTCTTTTATGATGGTGCTGGTTTCTGAAATTAAGTGTTGCAGGAAGACCTGGCACTGATTCTAACAGATAGCAACCAGGTTGGAGGCAAAGCACATGTTTTCAAGCTCTGTCATAGCTGCACCTCCTTATCTCTCCATTGCGCATAATGAGTCTGGAAGGAACCCGCCACTTGCCTCTGAGCTGGAGCTGTGCCAGGCAGTCCTAGGTGGTTCCATCAGCAGCATTTCACCTCTGGGTTTCCATGTTCTCCCTCTCCCCCTTCCTCCACCTGCCTCCCCAAGCCTCCTCTGGGATGAGCATGCCCTGGGGCCAGAGAGGGACAGAGAGGGGAGAAGTGGCAAAGGGAGGCTGGCCAAAAGGACTCTGCCTGGGTAAAATTTCCTTTCAGAGCAAACCTTGAAGCTGTTGTGGTGGTACGGGAGATTTTGAAATAAGTTCATCTATTTCTAGTTTTTAAAACCTGCTAACAAATTAATTTCTGGGTGAAGAAGTTGGACAGCAGTGCTTCTCAGAGGCCCCAAGCATGATGGGCAGAGTTAGAGGGGCGTGGTCTGGGCAAAGGCATTCTCTGGAGACCACCCAGGTGCCATGTGTCTTGAGTTTTCAGAAAATCACTCTGTCCTTGCCGTGCTGCTGCCACCTCTTTTCCTTCTTCCTCTTTACTCTCAGGGCTCTACGATGGTCTCCCTAAGTGACCAGAATGATTTGTAAAGCCCCTGCCTGAAAGAGCCACTTCTTACCAATTTCTGTGCACCCAGAGCTTCCGTGTTCTGTTAGAGCTCCTCTAAGGGCACTACAGCACCCTGGACCAGATACATCTGTCAGATGCACAAGGGATTCGAATTGGTCATTCTGTGTTAGGATGGAAAGGGAGAAAAACCATGTAGATCCTACAACAGATGGAGAAACCAAGTCCCATGGAGGCTGAGAGATTGCTTGAGAATACATAGTAAGTTGAGAGTCAGAGTTAGGACTGTGTCAGCGATGCCCTGTCCAGTGTTTTCCTCACTGTACTTCATCAGAGGCTCTGCAGTGGTAGATTTTGTTTGACTTTTATTCAATTGGCATTCCTTAGGGTTCTACTATGTGCAAGGCACCATTAGTAGCTCCTTCTACAGTAAGTCACCAGTGTCATTCATTAGGATCTTCCGGTCAAACCAGAGGGAATCCTTTCTGTACTGATCCTAAGCACCATTTTCCACAGGGATTAAGCACAAATACAGGGCCGGGGATTTAGCTCAGCAGTTCAGGGCCTGCCTTGCAAGCCCAAGGACCCGAGTTCAATCCCCGGTACCAAAAAAAAAAAAAAAAAAAAAAAAAAAGCACAAATACATCTGCTAGTCTCAACTTTTAATTGGATGAAATGAATACCAACAGGAAAGGGTTGCAAATGTCAATGATATCCTCAGTGTAGACCAAGAAAATGGTTTAGGGCAGAATCTCTATTGCCAAGAATTTCCACGTAGGTGGGAAACAACCAGATGTCCTATTCAGAAGGTCTCACCCCTGTCTCTCATAATGTGTGGTCTACGTTCTGGTCCCCCTACCATAGTATAAAAATCAGTCATTTGGCTCCCCTCCCAGTGGAGCTTCCTGAAAAGCTGCAAAAGGCATTTGTCCTAGGGTGGGGATAACGAGCACAGTAGTGCTTCCTGCCCTGCCCATGGACACCTGGAAAGCCCATGAGTGGGTGGTTCATGTATCATTGAAGGGTGGCAGAGACAAGAGAGAATTGGAAACCAGCACAGGCCCCTCAGGCTGCAACTGCAGCAGTGGCTGTGAGAGAGACATGCCCCTGCCTGTAGGGAAACAGGCAGACATTGTCCCCAAAGCCACACAGGCTAAGAGGGCCACTGAAGAAGCAGCTTAGCACAGAGAGGGTGGAGAACGAGGGGTGATAGAGGGAAAAAGAATCCTCCAGATCAGTGGTTCACAGGTTTGGGGGTTTCACGGATGGAAGTTCATGAAGGAAAATACACTTGATCTTAGCCAAAAGGCCGAGAAGCAATCATGCAGGAAAATAAAGAACAGATTTTGGGGTAGATCAATACAAGCTTGCTATCCTTTTTACTCTTTTAGGTAGGAACTTTTAAAAATACCATCTAGGATTACCATCATTTCATAAAAGAAATTCTAATATCCCTTCCTTTTAATAAAAAAAGGATATCATCTTGGAATTTACCAGAATTTGATTCATTAAGCTTTATTTTTGTGGGCCAGAGATTTAGCTCAGTGATGCCACCACCCGCCTTGCCAAGTGCAAGGACCTGTGTTTGATCCCTGGTACCAGAAAAAAAAGATTTATTTTTGAAACTCACTACAATATCCTGATTTTTCTCTTTTCAATGAGTAAAAGCATTAACTGCACAAGATTCCCCATCTTACAGATTGGCACTCAAGAGTCTGGTTGGTACACATAAGTCCCTGACCAGCAGCCCTGGCTGTAGGCAAACCCTCACAGGGAAATCATGCTGCAGCCTGTGGGCAATGGGCCAGCTCTTTCCTCCTTGGGTTGTTACTCATCTCCTTCCTTGGTCTCCGCATTTCTATTTCCGTCTTCCCAGAGAGGCCGAGAACTGACACTCTCCACCTACCCTCACTTGCAGATAAAAACAGAGGACCTCAGTGACTCCTTGCAGCAGACCCTATCCCATCGGCCATGCCATCTGAGCCAAGGACCTGCCATGATGTCTGGAAACCAAATGTCTGGGGTAAGTGGTAGTCCATGGCAGAGAACCTGATATTCTCAGTGAGCCAGTGAGTTTGCAGAGACATATTAGATCTCCGTGCTTGGCACCTGAGAATCCAATAGAACTAAAGAACCCCCTAGGTTTGAGGGTGCAGCTCAGTAGTAGAGAGCTTGACTGGCATGTATAAGACCCTGGATTCAATTTCCAGTACTGGAAGAAAAAACAAAAGAAGAAAGAAAAAAGAATCCCTGGTAGGCAATGGGAGATAGGTCTAGGAGGCCTGAGTGGTAGTGGGGTTCTGAAATAGTCCTTGTGAAAATGAAGCCTAACCAGGAATATAAAGAGGTAGTTCTGTCGCTCTGTGAAACAAAAAGAAGCCAGTCTTGCCAAAGTGAAGGACCTAGCAGCTATGCCGCTATTATCTGCTGGACCACTTTCAGGGCATTCTGTAATGACAACAATTCCTACAATTACAGAAGATTTCAGTCCCTAGTGGGTCTGCTCTGCCTCCTCCAAGACTGTATGTCAAAGCCACACTGGAATGGACTGCTGCTCTGAGAAGGGAAGTCATGCTGAGAGAGTAACAGCAGCAAATGTCTCAGCATATACTCCTGTGGCCCACCGCTCTTTAGTGTGGGGAAGAGAGGACACCCTTCTTCCAGCAATGCTTAAGAACAGAATATGTAGCCATTCCTTCACCCTTTCATTCAGCAAAGCTTATCAAGTCACATGTATACAGGCCTATGCTCAGCCATGAGGCATGCGGCCCTGAATATCTGGATTGAAGAGGACTCCGGGACCTCAAATGTCGGAATCACTATATCCAAGAACTGACTGGTGAAACAAACTCAGACTTTTTCATTAACCAAACTGAATTTATTAAAAATAATTAGTTTGACCCGTCTTCCAGCTCCTACTCTAATACTCTCCAGAAAGACTGAGGCATAGTAACCAAAGCATGGCTTTTAGAACAATCAAGTGACAAGAGATTAAGGAGAAGAGAAAAGGACAATTGGGATTGCAAGCTGTTTTTAGGATAAACATTTGAGACATGGGTAAGTCCCGTTGTCTGTGGTCAGGGCACTTACTGTTGGAAGATAGGATGGCACTAACACTAGAAAAACTAAATCATGAAGCCAGAGTTCAGTAAGAGACATTGCAAGGACTACTTGGCTGAGTACAGAAACTATAATAACAGCATTAATGGAGCAGCTACTATGTGCCACACTCTGAAGACACACAGAGGCATGAGCCAAGGCCACTACAAACTTCCAGTGCCTGGAGTGCCACAGGCTGGATGGGCTGAGGGCGCAGAGGTTCCCAGTCTGTAAATTCTCTGACATCTGTATATCTGCCCACATGTAGGACATGGCTTCTCTCCATCCACTCCAGCAGCTTGTGCTGGTCCCTGGTCACTTGCAGTCAGTGTCCCAGTTCCTGCTTTCTCAGACCCAGCCTGGGCAACAAGGTAAGAACCCAGGGGTTTTCACACTGACTGAGGCAAGTGCAGCTGTCACTGTTGGCTGGGTGTGGAGCACAGCGAGTTGCTGGCCCCTCTGCATACTAAGACCACTTGGTCACCTAGGGCTGAGGAAGGACTCTTGACAGTGCCCCTCCAGAATTAATGCCCTGCCTAGGATCCTGCTGGGCCTACCTCACCTCCTAAAAGTCCTAAAGGGGTGAGGCTGAAGGGGCTGAGGGCTGGGGGAAGGGACAAGGAAAGAGAAGCCTACAATTCTTTGGATTCATTGTGCTTCCCGGCTATGCTTATATTTGGGCAGAGCGGCAGTGCCTCCCACAGGCTGCAGAGGGGTTCTCAAGTTGTTTGGTGAGAAATTACTCCCAGGAACTTTCATTCTTGGCCAAGAGCAAACAGATTAAACTATTCATAACAGAATGATGGAGGAAATATACTCTCAACTGTACAGATCCCAAGTAGAGGCTTTGGAAACCCAGCATCTAAAAAAAATATACCTGTCTTCTGCTGTAGCACCTGCCAAAAGTGCATTCTTAGTTTCTGGGGTGTCTCAGCATATTATTAGGATGAGTGGGAACATACTTGAATCCTTAAGTGATTATTTTAGCTAAATAGTATACACATACTTCTGAAATAGGAAAGGGAATGTAACAGTAAATTCAATTTGTTTTAAAAAAACTGCAGTGATCTGAAAATTGCACACCATGTAACAAATGAGTTCAGTATATGATGTAGGATGTAAAACGTTTAAATTTGGAGAGAAAGCAACTCATTTTTGGGGAGCTGAGGATTTAGCTCAGTGATTCCACCACCTGCCTCACAAGTGCAAAGTCCTGAGTTTGATCCCTGGTACAAAACAAAAAAACAAAAAAACAAAAAAAAACCCAAATTCATTTTTTTTAAATCACTTACTAGCCATGTGTCCTCAGGAAACTCACCAAGCTTCTATTTCCTCCTCCACAGCCATAATGTTAAGTGAAATAAATCAGACAAAAGCTTAAATATTACATTTTTTTTGTATATGAGAAACCCAAAATATAAATAAAGAGCAAAACAAAAGATAGGTAATAGGAAGTAGGGAGATAGATTTTGTTCAAAAGGAAGGGGATCAAGAGATGGAAGGGAGGGAATGGAAGGAAATTTTAAAAAATTAAGATGTGATGTATACATGTACCAACTCCCACTAAGGAGTATAAAAATTATGTAATACAAACATACAAATATATACAAATAAAAATTGAAAAAATAGAGGAATTTGGCAAAATAAAAAAGGATAGTAGTGAAATATATATTATAAAATATTGATATATTTGAAAAGGTTTCATACATTTCAAAATTCGGTATAAATTTAGGATTGCTACCAGTACTCAGACCTCCAGATTCCAAGTCCAGGGCTCTTTATAAGAGACTTCTTGCACATTTGTTTTACTAAGGAGAAAGTATGTCCTGACTTTTTGAGACTGAAGGGCAAAAAAGTCAATATCTGCAGGTATGTAATTTATGACATCCAGAGACAATAGATACCCCAATGCTTCTGTGTGCTGGGTGACTGGGATGACCTACTTTGGTAGTTTGATGGCCTCCTGTTGTGAAAATGCAAGGTCTCCGCTTGGCCTCCCAAGAAGGGAGACACCTGTCATGGCCCCTGACCAGGCAGAGCCCCTCATGAGCAATTTTCCTGGATTGGGAAGGAGGGGAGGTCCCCAGGCTGTATTTCAAGGAGGTATGCTCCGTTCCACCCAAGGGAGTTCCCAGACTCCCAGCCATTCCTGCCATGTGTAGTGTCCTGGTCACCAGACACCTCTGACCAGTAGCCCCATGCCCTTCAGAGCCTTATGGTACCATCTGCTTGCTCTGACATTTTGCACATTCCGATAGGCTTTTGTGGCCCTCCCAGCTACTTCCCTGCCGGAAGCACTGAAAGCCTCAGCCCCTACAGGGTTCTCGGTAGCTGCCCCCACCTCCCTTCCACTCCCCTCCCCTCTGGGTTCCTCAGCCCTGCCAGGCAGATCCCAGCTAGATTACCTTGACCTTCCTTAGCCCCTGCACCTCTCCAGGCAAGCATGTAAGCAGAAGGACTGGTTTGGGGATTGTTTACACTTCTGTTTATCCTTATGCCTGGTCTGGTTCGTCTCCACCTGTATGTGGCAATGCCTGGCTGTGCCTATGGGGGCCTCTCCATGGGGCTTGAGGTGGGTTGTGGGACCTGATTTGGTAGTAGAGGGTGGGGACAGTTCTCATGGTTCTCCTGTCAAGCTTGTCTTTCCTATGGCCTGGATTTTATTTGTTTTTTTCTTTGCCCTCCCCTTTCACCCAGGTCTGCAGCCGAATCTCCTCCCCTTTCCACAGCAACAAAGCAGCCTCCTCCTCCCACAGACAGGGCCTGGCCTGGCATCCCAGGTAAATACCCACATTCCTCAGGTTTCTCTGGAAATGTCTCAGCTCTGACACAGTGCAGCTCACTGGGGTTTTCCCATCCCTTTAGCAGGGCACTTATCCTTCTGGGAAGAGAGGAACTGTCTCTAATGATGCAGAGGAAATCCAAACTACAGCCAGGAGAGAGAGTTTATCCAATATCATTTAGTGGGCCATGAATGAGAACCCAAGCCAGGCATGGTGCTATACACTGACAATCCCAGCATTCTCAAAGGGTAAGGCAGGAGGATTACATGTCTGAAATCAGCCTGGGCAATTTAGTATTTAGCAAGACCCTGTCTCTAAATAAAAAAAGAGGGCTGGAGATGTAGCTCAGATTGAGGGCCCTGAGTTCATTCCCCAATACTGCCCCCAAAAAGATTAAGATGACTTCTAAAATGCCAGGTGTGATGATGCATACCTGCAATCCCAGCCTTCTGTGAGGCTGAGGCAGGTGGGTTACAAATTTGAGCCCAACCTGGGCTACTTAGTGAGACCTTGCTTCATAATAAATTTTTTTTTTAATTGTTTTAATGGGACGGGGATGTAGCTCAGTGCAAAGGCCCTGGGTTCGATCTTCAGTACCACATCAAAAACAAACAAACCAGATTCCAACTCCCAGGCCAGCCTGCAGCAGCTCCACTCCAAAGAACTAGCGCTCAATTAATTCTCCAGGAAGCATGGTGACCATCAGCTCTGCCTCTTCCAAGAGGGAGACCAGAATGGGATAGGCCTGCTGTCATTTGCCTTGTCTCCCACCAAAGGGTCCCTATTCCAGACTGTCTAACAGGGTGGCATGTGTCTGAGGCAGGCAGGCTGAGAGCTGGAAGAAGAGCCATTTGCAGAGCTGCCATGGTTCCACATTAGCACTTATATGCCAATTTTAAAAAGAGGGACCCCTCTTGCCTACAACAGCATAGGCTGCATCTTGGCTGCCACTCCTCTTTTTGTCTGGTGCCCTGTGAAGTTAATGACCCTCAAAGCTTCATGACTTGGCCCTCAATGGAAATGACTGTAGAGACCAGTAATGTACTTCTTCTGTGCTAAGATTACCTGGGCTCAGTAAAGGCCCTGGTTTTCCAGAGGCAGAGTCCACTGAAGACGTCTGAAAAAAAATGGCAGGCGCCACCTAGTGGTGTAAAGAACCAGCCCCCCCCCCAGAGTCAAATTGCGCTTCTGGCTGCTCACCCCAGAATCTGACAGCGAGAGACCAGCTCTGGACAAGTCCTACAGAGCATTCCAGATCAAGTCTCACATCTTCTAATATTTTAGCATAAAGATGCTGGTAAGAAGACAGATCGTTTAGAAGAGCGGTCATCTTAGGAGAGCACAGTGGCACCCACCTGTAGTCTCAGCTCCTCAGGAGTCTTGAGGCAAAGTGATCCCTTGAGCCCAGGAGTTCAGAGCCAGCCTGGGACAGTCTTGGAACCCTGTCTCAAAAAATCCTGGGTGGGGGGTGGATAGAAAGAGGTTGACTATAAGAATGGAGGGAATGAACAAGATGATGTTTGAGAAGTCTAATCAATAGAATTTGGCAACGATCAGTTATGAAGCGTAGAAGAAAAAGTCTTGCAGATAACTTAGTATTTGACAAATGAAAGAACAAGTGAATTAATAAAAAGGAGGTTTCAAAAAAGACTGTGACTTGGTCCTCTTGGTCTGGTCTGTGCCACTCCCTCCCCACACAACCTCTCTCTGTAAACCAGGACCCACTCTGTGATAGTTTCAAACCATTCTGTTCTAATAGACTCTTCAGGGGGGAAAGTGCTTGTCTCTGGTTCTTTTACTCTCTTCATCATGAGATGCCTGCATCTCATGAATGGTAAACTTGAATATTTTCAAGAAGGAGCTAATTCAGTTTAGGAAAAGAGAAAATCGAGAAGATGTATTTAGCCCAAATTATCTACAGAAGCAGTAGCCTCTGAGATGGACACAGTGCCTAAAGCCTTAGGGCTGGATCATTTTCCATCTTTGTGGAATAATAAATGTTTTAAGCCTGGTTCCATTCCTGGCCCCAAATGGGCACAGTTCTTGCTTTAAGGGCACATTTTCCTAGAACAGGCTAAAGAATATGTCCTGACAATCACAATTGAGATCAAGGTGCATTTAGATAGCAGTGATTAAAATGCCTTTGATTAAAATCAAGCATTATCACCAAAGAAAGTGATGGTATAGAAAGTAAAATGGCACTCACAGGAGTTTGAGACTGTCTGAAAGTCCTATGAGTATCATGAGTTCTCCAGTGTCCTCTGTTGTCTTCAGTTGGTATGCGTTGACATCTCAGTTACCTTGCTTTGTGGAAAAGAAAAGGCAAGGCAAACAAACCTTTTCTTTGTCCCATTCTGAGATTTGTTTGTAAAATCTCTACAAACAATGCTTCTAACTCCTTTTATGGTGGAAAACTGAAAGGAGGAAGTAACCTGCTCAGAGTCAAATAGTGAGTCACAGACTAACACCCAAAAAGGGTACCTACTTACTTGACCCTCCTGTTTCAACCCAATGTGCAAGTTATTTGCTCTATCTTCACAGAAACTCCAATTTCCACCTCCACATCATTGCAAAAAATAGGACTAATGTACCCAAAAATTTTCCTTCTTCTAAGTGGACTATTAGTGACAGACACCAGAGAATGCTACTTAGTTTGTTGACTCTTTGTGGATCTGCTTGGCATGTGTTCCTTTATCAGGCAGTTGGGCGCCCTGGGATGCCAGGATCCTCTTTAGAACCCCACCTAGAAGCATCACAGCATCTCCCAGCACCCAAGCATCTACCTAGTTCTGGAGGGACTGATGAGCCCAGTGACTTGGAGGAGCTGGAGAAGTTTGCCAAGACCTTCAAACAGAGACGCATCAAGCTGGGCTTCACACAGGTTTGGTTTAGAGAGAGGATATGAAAGAAATTGAGTGAGTGGGTATTGAGCTTCCCAAGTGGTAGGTGTAAGAGCAACCCAAGGCTCAACGTGTTTGGGGAAGGCCCATCATGTCCCTGAGAAGAGAGCACAGTTGCCACTAGCAGGGAAACTGAGGGTATGGCTGGTGGAGGGGTAAGGAATGAAAGCCCACAAGACATGGCCCACTCAGTCTAGGGAAAGAAATAAACCTATTCTCCATTCTAGAGGGAAAAGCCTTGGAAAGGAGCTAAAGTGGGTGCCTCGGGTTCTGATTGGATGTATGCTAAGAATCAGGGTGGTGGGAGAAGTGGGCAAAGAGGACAAGCCTGCCTCTCATGTTCCTCACTCTCTATCTCTGCACAGGGAGATGTAGGGTTGGCAATGGGAAAGCTGTATGGCAATGACTTCAGCCAGACCACCATCTCACGGTTCGAGGCCCTCAACCTGAGCTTTAAGAATATGTGCAAGCTCAAGCCACTGCTGGAGAAGTGGCTGAATGACGCAGGTAGACCTCTGGGGAATCAGCAGGCATGGGCCTAAGGATTCTATAGGGATTGTTCTAATGATTTGTCTGTAGTGGGGCTCTAGAGTGTCAACACACAGCACCCCTTTCTTCTCCTGAGCTTAGAAAGAATTGAGAAATAAGACACGGGATATAGGCAAGTAGAGGTGAAAATATCACAAAATATTATGAGAAAGTCCTTTGGAGGACACGGCTTTAGGTCTGTGAACCTGAAGACTTGCTCCCATTCCATTCTCCACTCCAGACCTGCTTAGCCTAGACAGCTCCCTAGAGAGAAAGCCTGGGTCTGCAGAGCACATGCATGTATAAGATTGCTGTCTGGGATAGGCCTAAGAAAGGAGACAGGGCATTGGGTCCTGGAGGGAGAGTCATAGGCACAGCACAGGGTCTTTACCTGCCTACTTCTGCAGCAGGTTTCAGTGCCCAGCCAGACTGTGGCCTGGATGAGCTGGGAAAGTCTTACACCAGGAGTGGGGTTTGCAGGAGGATTCAGTCAGGATCCAGTCCTTCCCAGAGGTCAAGTATGTAAACCAAGGTGTTTGAAATGTTGACTAGAAGAGTTTGCCATCAGAGGTGGGCATAAGCAGAGTTTCTCATTCTTTGCCTTATGGACATTTAGGGTCAAATACATCTTTGGGAGCAGGGTGGCCATTGTAGTATAGTTACCAGCATCTCTGGTCTCTACCTACCAGTTACCAGTAATACCGGCTCTCAAGTTGAGACGTCCCAACATGAGTCCAGACATTGCCCCAGGAGGAATGGTGATGGTGAAGAGTGTGGCTCCTGCTTGAGGGCCCTTGGCCTAGGTGGAGAGAGGAGACAAAATCCAGGCTCGGGTTCTGTTCAGTGGATATGTGTGGAATAGTGGTTACTGTGGTATGGGCAGCAAGGGCAGCCAACAGTGTGACCCTCGTGGAAGTCCCTCCAATGCAAAAGCATGGGAGGCAACAAAGAAGCTTCCCCACCTCCCTTAACAGGCTGTCCCTGTTCAATATTGATTGAACTACTGAAGTAAAAGAACTAATCAGAGGGTCCTAAGATCTTTGGGAAAGAGCCTTGCCGATCATTTCTAGTGGGACCACCCCCCACCTTGACACCTGACACCTGACACCTTCCAAAGGCACATGCCTCCTGTCCACCCTAAATATTAGCTCCAACACTTGCACTGATGAACAAAGGGCTTTAGCATCAACATTCTGCTAACAAGTGCTAGTGCTTTTGGCTGAGAAGGCCATTTGCCATTGTACTCAGTATTCACATCTAGGCGTATCTATAAAAGACAGACTGGTGAGTGCTACTTGTAGGAGCCCTGCCTGTGCCCACTCACACCCACACATGCCGCCGATGCCTGGGCCTCCCTGAACCATGACCACAAATACTGGAGACTCTGCAATGGGAGGCATGGAGGACCTTGGCCCTGAGCAACGAGGAGAAGCAGGAGTCTCGGTCTGTTTGGGGTGCCCTGCTGGGGGAGGGGGCTGGTCCTAAAAATGCCACCACAGCACCCACTGGGAAGGGCTGTTGGACCTCAAGTCTGTTATAGCAGGACTAACCCGGCCACCCACCCACGCCCTCTGATCTCCTTTTGCTCCTTCACCTCCCTCCAGAGTCATCTCCGTCAGACCCTTCGGTGAGCACACCCAGCTCTTACCCCACCCTCAGTGAAGTGTTTGGCAGAAAGAGGAAGAAACGGACCAGCATCGAGACCAACATCCGCCTGACTCTGGAGAAGAGATTTCAGGATGTGAGCAGCTTCCTTGGGTGGAAGTGGGTGGGCAAGCAGGTACCATACCGCTAGGAGGCCAGGCACCTGCTGGGAGATGGCCAGAAGCCAAGTCACCCACCCTCTCCTGGTACACAGGGATTTGAGTGGGAGGCTGCCTTTTATCTAGGATTCCAGAAGCTTCTCCCCCTCATTGAACCTTCTTTCTTGGATGTTTATTTGGGGCCTGTTGTCCCTCTACTAGGAGATGTAAAGACTGGAATATGGGGTTCCAGAAGACAGTATTTCTATATCCAACTGAAGTAAAGGAACAAAGACAGAGCATTGTATATAATTCCCTATCTTCTTTGATGTAAATTTTGTGTATTCCAAATTTAAAATGTAATTAGCCCATTGTGGTGGTACACTCCTATAATTCCAGTTATTCAGGAGTCCAGGGAATGAGAATCCTAAGTTCTAGGCCAACCTGCATAACTTAGCAAGACCCTGTCTCAAAAAACAAAAACAAACAAGCAAATGAAAGAGCTTCAGATATAGCTCAGCACTCCCTACATTTAATCCCTCCATATTGAAAGAATAAATAAAAGTAATAAATGCTCATTCTAAACAATTTGAAAAATACAGAGAGGGAAATAGAAAGAAAAAAAGAATTTCAAACCCATCTGAGCGTTCATTCTTCTATTCCTTTTTTTTCCATGCACATTTAACTACTTGTGACCATATTCCATATGATTTTGAACTTGTGACAAAAGCATATTCTTGGGACAGTGAGTAGAAGCTGTGAGCCCCGTGGGAGATGGGGTAGAGAAAAGGGAAAAACAGATGAGAGTTGAAGAATTTCTAGTCAGAATCCCTGAGGTCCTGGCCTCCAGGGTCTCCTTGGCACTGCATGTCTCCAGGGCCTGGGGCCTAGTCCAGCCTTACTGGACTTGCCTCCCAGGGCTGCCATCAGCCGATCCCCCATACATCTCCATAAGGACTTGATGGCTGTGTTCTTCTGGCAGGAAGACAGGAGCTGACTTGTCCTTCTTTTTAGGTTTTTCAGCACAATGTGGCTGAAGGAGGGTGCAGGAGAGTAGAGAAATGAGATCAGACCACAGACTGCGTTGTGAGCGGTCCCAGCAAGGGTGTGGCACTCTCATATTATGTACAACATTGCTATTCTGCAGATTTAACAAATCTGAGAGTTTTAGCTTCCTTGTTTTTTAGGAAGAGATGACAAGGGAAAAGGTTGAAGAAAAAACTCAAGGGGAGCATGTATTTCTGGGATTTTTTTTTTCCTGCCCCTTGTAACTCATCCACAGATCTTCTCTTCATAACTGCAGCAGAGGAAAGGAATATAAGAAGAGACACACCTCTGTGCAACCTCTACCTTGTGTCAGCCCTGTGCTTGGTAGTTTGCACACATTTTCTCAATTAATCTTCACCATAATCCTGCATGGTAGGCACTGTCATTCTCATTTTGTAGATGAGACTGGTGTACACCTGAAGGAATTAAAATCAGCAGTGGCTCACATCTGTAATTTCAGCTACTTGGGAGGCTGAGAAAGGAGGATTGCAAGTTCAAGATCTGCCTGGGCAACAGTATGATCCTATCTCCAAAAATTATAAATATGAATATAAATATAAGAACTGGTTATATAGCTCAGTGTTAGAGCACTTGCTTAGCATATTGAGGCGCCCAGGTTCAATTTCCAGTATCATAGATAAAAATGACAGAATAAAAAATGAACCTTAAAAATCGAATAGTTTCTCTAGACACCAAAAATGAACCAACTAAAAAGAAATCAGGAAAACAATTCCATTTACAGCAGCTTCAAAAAACACCTAGAGATTAATCTAAACAATGGATGAAAGACTTTTGCAATGAAAATTAAAGACCACTGAAGAAATAAATTGAAGTGAGCACTAGAAGATGGAAAGACCTCACATACTGGCAGATTTAATATTGTTAAAATAGCCACATGGGGCCGAGGATGTAGCTCAGTGGTGCCTCACCTGCCGAGTGAGTGCAAGGTCCTGAGTTTGATCCCCAGTACCTAAATAAATAAATAGATTTAAAAGGCCACATTACCACAAATAATTTACTTGAGTCAATCCAATCACCATCAAAAAATACCAACGACATTCTTCACAGAATAGGAAAAAAATCCTAAAATTCATGTAAACACAAAAGATCCAGAATAGTCAAAGCAATCTTGAGCAAAAAATACAAGGCTGGAAGAATCCACAGCACCTGATTTCAAATTTTACTACAAAGCCAGAGTAACAAAACAACATGGTAATGGCACAAAAGTAAACACATAGACAACAGGATATAATAGAGAATATAGGAGCAAATACACACAACTAGAGCTACCTGATTCTTGACAAAGAAGCCAAAAACAAGTTGAAGAAAAGATAGTCTTTTTAATAAATGGTGATAGG